AGGTAGCCAATCACAAAGCTCCCTTCCAGGGCAGAGGTAGCCAATCATAAAGCTCCCTTCCAGGGCAGAGGTAGCCAATCACGAAGCTCCCTTCCAGGGCAGAGGTAGCCAATCACGAAGCTCCCTCCCACAGCAGAGGTAGCCAATCACGAAGCTCCCTTCTAGCGCCAGCCTTCCATAGAGTACACACGTGGCTTTCTCAGGGGCTCGGCTGCTGGGTAAAGTCAGGAGCGTTGGTCCTTGCAGAGCTGTTCTCCCAGCTTAACGACTCTCTTTCGGGCCATGGCACCAGAGCCCTTTTGGTTCACTCGCAGTGGGCCCTGAGGGTCAAGGTGGAACGTCCCAGCCGTTTGGGCTTCCCCCCACGTGCAGAAAATGTCCACATTTGTCACAAGCTCCAATGGCTGCCCTCCGCTGAAAGCCCGGGCCCCCCCACCCTGCGAAGGTTGGGAGCACCGGAGTCAGACTTACACTTGAACTCGAGTTTCACCCTACCATCGGTGGAATCTAGATCAACTTAATTTTCCCCGGAGTCTAGTTTTCCCATCTGTAAAATGGGAATGATCATGGTGTCTGTTCCAGACGCTCTCGTGAGGCCCAAAGAAGGTGGTGTGAGGTGTTCGGCACAGAGCAGGTGTGCAGTAAATAGTAACTCTTCTCGAAGTGCTTTTCCCTCCATAGCCAGAGTTCTTTCTTGCGGGTGGCAATCCCCACTTCTGCCCTTTCACTGGTCCAGAAGCCTGGACAGTTCACTGCACACCCTTGCCGTGTCTGCCCTCACACTCAGGCCGGTACACTGCCCCCTCCCCAGGCTCTTGGCATCCCCCCTCCCAGCTTGACCCCCCCGAATCCCTTGAGTAACTCTTTCAAGGTCCCCCATCTACCATTGGGACCCCCATGGAAGCTCCTGACTTGGGGCTCCTGGCCCCCTGCTGGTTCGGGTCCACTCCCTCTTCCTCCCCATTTATGTTCCCTCTGCCACCTCTGGAGCACCTTGCTCTCCTCCCTTTTGCCTGGCTGGTCCCTGCCTGTCCCTTAGCAGGAGCGCCCTCCTACTTCCAAAGCTCCAGCTGACAGCTGCCCTGCCCGCCCCAGTAGCATCTGCTCCCTCCTTCTTCATTTGCTTTCCAAGCGGGGCCCTTTTGATTACCAGGAGTAGAGACAAGTTCTGGTAAAGGGGGCTGCGATTTTAAGGACATAGGGGAAAATGAAAGGGGTAGAATGGTGTAGAAATCTAGAAAAAAGCCAGAGGGATTTTTTTTTTTCCTTAAACCCTACCAAGTTACTTGCTTGCAGAAAGCCTTTGGTGGCTTCCCTCCATGAACTTAGGATAAAATCCACCCTCCTTGCTGAGGCCCTCGAGGCCCGCCTCTCCCCCTGGTCTCCCGCTACCCTCCCCCTGCTCTTCCCCTCCTGCCCCCTGGTGCTCTCCTGCTCCGCGGATGCAGGTAGCAGACAACCACTGTGCCCCACACTGTACCCCAGCTCTGGTGTGCCAAGAAACCAGCCTCGTTTGAGTCCCACACCTCCCCCCAGCCATTTCCTGTCCAGGTATATCCTCTGATGCCAGACCAGATTGTGAAGCAGGAGGGGGTGTGGGTGTCTGCTGCCCCAAGGGAGTAGGGCAGAGTGACATGGCAGCTCCTCCTGGCCTGACCTGCACTCTTCCTCCTTCACCCCTGCTTCGCTCACTGCTGCTGGCGTTTTATTGTTGTTGTTGTTGTTGTTGTTGTTTAAACATATTTATAAAGCCCTGTTAGGTGCTAGACAGGGGCTTCCTGTGTTTTCTGGCCCCAGAAGCTCTCCCCACCCCTCCCCAGACGGTGGTCTCACTCATAGTTCTTTTTTCCTTCCCCCAGACGATCCTGCTGGTTCACTGGCTGCTGACGACCTGGTGAGTGACTCCACAGATGTCCACTTCTGTGTCCACCTGTCTCCCAGGATCTGGGTCCACATACCCCCAGGCTCTCATCCATGTGTCTCCTGGCCAGTTCCAGAACTAAATAGCACCTTTGTCAAGAATGTCATCAGCATCCCCATGTCCCAAGAATGTCTGAGGGGCAGGCAGTTTCCAGAGGCCTCGGCCATAACTCCCCCCCCCCCCCGCCCCCGGATCCCAGAAGCTTCAAGCCTTCATCCTAGGGGAGGTGGCTGGCCCAGGGCAGTCCCCACAGCTCAGATCCTCCTCCAGACATTGCCCAGGCCCCTTTGGGGGCTTGGCATGACTCTGGTTCCTCCCCAAGGCCTTTGTATCTGGAAGGTGTGAGGTGCTAAAGCCAGGGGGCCAGTCTCACATAGCCTGCTGGACTCCCCGAGGCAGCCATGGGGTGGATGCCGGCTAGAGCTCTGTGTGTCTGTGACCTTGGGTAAGTCACTTAGACTCCCTGAGTCATTTTCTCACCTATAAAATGAGGGCATTACTGACCCTCCCATTTACCCTGTAAGGTCACTGGAAGGTGAAAGCCGAGTTTTAGAGACTGTAATAACCCCTAACATTTCTAGAGGGTGTCTAGGAGCCAGCCACTGGGCTGAGCACCTTCTGTGGGTTGGCTCCACAGCTCAGCAAGTAGATACTTTATGACCCAAGACACAAGGTGGGGTCACTTGCTTAGGGGTGGACCCTATTTCTTATGTCACACTCCTGCCCAGAGATGACAGACTAGGGATTCAGATGGACCTGGGCAGGTCCTGGCTCAGCTGTGGTCCAGCCGGGTTACCTTAGGCAAATGGCCCACCTCTTGGGACCTTAGTTTCCGTCTGTAAAATGTGTATAAGGATAGCACACATCCCTCAGGGGCTGTGAGGGAGAAGCATGTTGTGCTCATCCAGCACTCCCCCGGGCCTGTTACAGAGGGACGCTTGAGCATTGCAGGCTTGATTTCATTTATTACTGTCTGTTTTACCTGCCGAGCTGTGGGGCGATTTCCCTGCCAAAGCAGGACTGGAAACCACTGAGCTTCTGTGTGCATTTTGCAGACCTTGAAGTGTGCTGCACGTGTAAAATGGTTGTGAATAATGCAGACAGTGAAAGTCATGGCTAATGACTTTGGGAAGCAAGGTCAAAATACAGATTTCTCAATCATACTCCCCAAGATTCTGAGTTGTGGTCTGGGCTGGGGCCCCTGCACTAGCTTCTTAAAACCAAAAAGTCAGGGCGCCTGGGTGGCTCAGTCGGTTGAGCGACTGCCTTCGGCTCAGGTCATGGTCCTGGAGTCCCGGGATCGAGCCCCGCATCGGGCTCCCTGCTCGGCGGGGAGTCTGCTTTTCCTTCTGACCCTCCCCTCTCTCATGTGCTCTCTCTCTCTCTCATTCTTTCTCTCAAATAAATAAATAAAATCTTAAAAAAAAAAAAACAAACAAGTCAGGTGACTTAAAGACTATCAAGCTGAGTCAGGTTCTGCGCTTCACAGCTTTGTACGCGTTCTCTGTAGGGAACACTTCAGAATCCCGAAACCTGACCTAACTCTGGTGCCTCTCCCCACAGGGGCTGCATCACGTTCTCGGGCCCCTACCCCTGGGCCAACTTCACCATCCTGGCCGTGGGTGTGTGGGCCGTCGCTCAGCGGGACTCCATCGACGCCATAAGTCTGGTGAGGTGGGGGAAGCAGCGAGGGGACTGGCCTCAGGGTGGTCCGTGGCCCATCCCAATCCTCTCTTCCAAGGAAGGGGGCCCCCACCCCACCCTTTGTTTTCCATTTCTAAAGTCTTGTCAAGAAGCCCTCCCCAGCTGCCAGCCCAGGTGTGTCTTCACTAGCCTGGCCTGGTTCTCGGCCTGCCTGGCTCCGGGAGCCCTGAGTCTGCTCAGTGCCTTCCCCCAAGAGAAGCATGGGCGGGGGCCCCCAAGTGCCCCAGCTCGGCCACTCCTCGAGGGCACTGGAGCATGTCCCCGATAACCCGCCTCTAGGGCCCTCTTTTAGCAGGGAGCGGTGGGGCTGGGAGCCCCACGCAGAGGGAGCTGCTGTACTTTGTGAGGTCAGAGTGGACACAGCCCCGCTGAGCTCTGCCATGGGGGAGCTTCCCAGCACCCACTGCGCCCCGGGGGGCAGCCAGCCCTCCAGCAGGGCCTGTCAGGATGACTAAGAAGGGAGTTCCCTGTGGTGCAGACAGATCGGGTGAACTCCAGTTTCACCCGGAGATTCTAGAACCAAGTCTTGTGCCCCATCGTGGCCACAGGCTAGGTCCAGACCTGGGTCCCCAGATCCCTGGGCTGGGTGCTGTAGTCCTCGCTCAGGCGTCTCACCCACCAGGCCCTGCCTGCTTGCTGATCTGTTTTCCAGCAAAGCCCAAGGACACAGGAGGGCACAAACGGAGCTTCCAGTCTGGTGTTTGTGGTAAGGGAGCCGTGAGCCATGATGGAGCATAAGGGTGCTCATAAACCCTGATGGCACATGGTCCCCCCCGGGCCCTGCGCCTGGCCTGTCTTGCAGTTCCTCAGTGGCTTGGTGGCCACCATCTTCCTGGACATCGTCCACATCAGCGTCTTCTACCAGCGGGCCAGCTTCACGGACACAGAGCGCTTTGGTGCCGGCATGGCCATTCTCAGCCTGCTCCTCAAGCCCTTGTCTTGCTGCTTCGTCTACCACATGTACCGGGAGCGTGGGGGTGAGCTCCTGCTCCACATTGGTGAGGCCACCACCTCCGGCCAGCTCCCTGACTGCCCCTCTCGCTGGCCAAGGTGCTGGCGGCGCCATCTCCCGCATCTCCCCTGTCTCTGGCTTGCCTGACCCACCGCCCCTGCCCAAGTGAGCTGGCCTTGCCCTGGGGGACGAGGGCTCAAGGCGTCGGGGTGGGGGAGGTGGGTGCTGACACTGACCACCAGGCTAGAAGGTCTGCAAGCTCCGGGCTCTGCTGCACGAGCCCAGGGCTCCCATCCCAGCCTGCTGTGAGCTTTCCTGGGCATCAGACTACGGGCAGGGTTGGGGGCAGGACCAGAGCCCCGTCTCAACCTGAGCATGGATGCAGCTGGGTGTG